CGCTAACGAAGTTTTTTGACCTGCTCAACCAAGAATGCAAACAACGTAACATAATGGTACCCGGTAAGGATGGCGGTATGGGTGATATCCTTAAGGTATCCGGCACCCTTATTAGAAAACAAATCGAAACGGCCGGCATCACGCACTCTCCTGCCACCAAAAAACTTCTGGCCAGCTGCTTGCAGCACAGCGAGGCCACGGTTGAACGGTGCTACCACGTCCCGTCGGCACACGCTGCAATCGAGCAAAACACCGTTCGATGACAACGATCGAACAATCTTCCAAGTTGAGAGAGTTTATAATATCCAAGTAAGTATTTACAAACATTAACAATATATTATGATATTTGTAAATCGTTTTTTTCTTAGCATCGAACATTACATGGACGTCACCGATCCGTATTCAGAGTTGCCATCGTTCGAGGAGTTTTGGAAGCAGATTCAAAGCCTCGACACGGTACAGCTGCAATTCCCAAAAAGCTCCCCATTGGGGATTATAAGCAAATCGTGGAGAGAGCGGAGAGTTTGATTTCAAAATGAAGAGCGCTCGAATTGGCGAGAGAGGCATTCCGGGAGGGCCACGACGAACAGTCCATTTCATCGGTGACGTTATGGCACCTGGCGTCTGAATTGTTGGTATGACGAATTTTATATTTATTTTTCCGTCACAAATAGGTCTATCAGAAAAATATAAATTCATGAGGTTTAGATAAGAAATAAAAGTTTTATAGGCTTATGTTCAAACACAAAATAACCCGCTAAAACGATAAAAATATGCAAAATATTTATGTTCAAAATGTGATTTTTAAAAAAATATATGAATTTGAGGTAAGTTTTGTACATATAAAGATTCAGTGTGATATTATCTATCAGGAAAATATAAATTTATAGAGTTCGGTTGGGAAATACAGTTTTTTATACTACATTTGGTGCGCAGAGTTAAAAAACAACGTATTCACAGCTATGTGTAAGGAGCCTGGACTTCAACAAAATTCAGTACTACGAGTCTAAAAAACGACCGTCCGGCAGGTAAGTTTAGATTTATCGCTGGGTTGCCATGCGATCTAGCGTCAAGTCGTATGAGTTAAAATATCCATTATGCATTTTACCGTAGTAATCTTGCACCAAGTGCGATCGCGGCTTAAATTACACTATATTTTACGATTGTTACTACGGCGCTAGCTGGTGTGGTCGGTATGAATACTGTCTGCTGGCAGAGTTGACCAGTGTTCGAATCTCATCTACTGACAGAATTTTTCCATATGAATTACTTGAGAATTGCAGCAATTTCTCGTAAGCGTATCATGGGCAACCATTCTCATGAGCATACGTCAGACAGTACAGTGCCGTTTCTTTCTTCCTCCGATTGCGAATAGACGATTATTTAGCACACCAGCGTACCAAAAGTACTCCAAGGAATTTCGCTGCTAGACCAATACCGCTTGTAGCCGAAATTTTTTTTTGAATAATGGGACAGCCGATCTTATTTTGCAATCTAATGATACAGGTTTCAAGTCGATCCCACAATTATTCGGTTTTTAATTAATTAATTCAAAATATATCTGCACGGCATACGGGTGATTGCACGGTGATCGGCCACACTCCAGCCGTCCGCTACTGGACAACGCGATTTTAAAGTGTTATACACAAAAATCGCAGGTATGGTAGTCGGGTATGTGTGCAATCTAACGAATTTTATATTTAAAGAAATTTAGAAATCATTATTTGAACATAATCAAACAGAATATTTTACAAATATATCATAATTTTACCGTCTACTTTTTGAACATAACGCTATAAAAACTTAAATATTTTTTCCAAGTCTATGATGTTATTTTTTCCTGATAGATCGAATGATAACGAAATTTATTATGTGCAATGTGCTTATGTACTTAAAATATTTTGGAAGTAATCATTTTTTGAACATAAAAAAAAGTTGATTTTACTAATAAACGGTAATTTTACCATCTACTTTTTGATCATAGCTCTAAAACAACTTAAGTATTTTTCACAAGTCTATGATGTTATTTTTTTCAGATAGAACGGAATATAACCAAAATTATTATGTGCAAAAACGAGGCGGCCACTCGTGGAGAGGATACTGTTATATGGGTCGCAAAACACAAATTAGGCGACAAGACGCCGGCCAACATTGTGTTAAACGACGAGATGATGGCCTATATGGACCGGTGAGTGAAAACAGACGAATAGAATTATTTAATCAAAGAATATTAACATTCCCATACTCTTTAGTTATTATTTATTGTCGCGCAACTTTTTCGTCACGAACACTGGGCAGGCGCTAACGAAGTTTTTTGACCTGCTCAACCAAGAATGCAAACAACGTAACATAATGGTACCCGGTAAGGATGGCGGTATGGGTGATATCCTTAAGGTATCCGGCACCCTTATTAGAAAACAAATCGAAACGGCCGGCATCACGCACTCTCCTGCCACCAAAAAACTTCTGGCCAGCTGCTTGCAGCACAGCGAGGCCACGGTTGAACGGTGCTACCACGTCCCGTCGGCACACGCTGCAATCGAGCAAAACACCGTTCGATGACAACGATCGAACAATCTTCCAAGTTGAGAGAGTTTATAATATCCAAGTAAGTATTTACAAACATTAACAATATATTATGATATTTGTAAATCGTTTTTTTCTTAGCATCGAACATTACATGGACGTCACCGATCCGTATTCAGAGTTGCCATCGTTCGAGGAGTTTTGGAAGCAGATTCAAAGCCTCGACACGGTACAGCTGCAATTCCCAAAAAGCTCCCCATTGGGGATTATAAGCAAATCGTGGAGAGAGCGGAGAGTTTGATTTCAAAATGAAGAGCGCTCGAATTGGCGAGAGAGGCATTCCGGGAGGGCCACGACGAACAGTCCATTTCATCGGTGACGTTATGGCACCTGGCGTCTGAATTGTTGGTATGACGAATTTTATATTTATTTTTCCGTCACAAATAGGTCTATCAGAAAAATATAAATTCATGAGGTTTAGATAAGAAATAAAAGTTTTATAGGCTTATGTTCAAACACAAAATAACCCGCTAAAACGATAAAAATATGCAAAATATTTATGTTCAAAATGTGATTTTTAAAAAAATATATGAATTTGAGGTAAGTTTTGTACATATAAAGATTCAGTGTGATATTATCTATCAGGAAAATATAAATTTATAGAGTTCGGTTGGGAAATACAGTTTTTTATACTACATTTGGTGCGCAGAGTTAAAAAACAACGTATTCACAGCTATGTGTAAGGAGCCTGGACTTCAACAAAATTCAGTACTACGAGTCTAAAAAACGACCGTCCGGCAGGTAAGTTTAGATTTATCGCTGGGTTGCCATGCGATCTAGCGTCAAGTCGTATGAGTTAAAATATCCATTATGCATTTTACCGTAGTAATCTTGCACCAAGTGCGATCGCGGCTTAAATTACACTATATTTTACGATTGTTACTACGGCGCTAGCTGGTGTGGTCGGTATGAATACTGTCTGCTGGCAGAGTTGACCAGTGTTCGAATCTCATCTACTGACAGAATTTTTCCATATGAATTACTTGAGAATTGCAGCAATTTCTCGTAAGCGTATCATGGGCAACCATTCTCATGAGCATACGTCAGACAGTACAGTGCCGTTTCTTTCTTCCTCCGATTGCGAATAGACGATTATTTAGCACACCAGCGTACCAAAAGTACTCCAAGGAATTTCGCTGCTAGACCAATACCGCTTGTAGCCGAAATTTTTTTTTGAATAATGGGACAGCCGATCTTATTTTGCAATCTAATGATACAGGTTTCAAGTCGATCCCACAATTATTCGGTTTTTAATTAATTAATTCAAAATATATCTGCACGGCATACGGGTGATTGCACGGTGATCGGCCACACTCCAGCCGTCCGCTACTGGACAACGCGATTTTAAAGTGTTATACACAAAAATCGCAGGTATGGTAGTCGGGTATGTGTGCAATCTAACGAATTTTATATTTAAAGAAATTTAGAAATCATTATTTGAACATAATCAAACAGAATATTTTACAAATATATCATAATTTTACCGTCTACTTTTTGAACATAACGCTATAAAAACTTAAATATTTTTTCCAAGTCTATGATGTTATTTTTTCCTGATAGATCGAATGATAACGAAATTTATTATGTGCAATGTGCTTATGTACTTAAAATATTTTGGAAGTAATCATTTTTTGAACATAAAAAAAAGTTGATTTTACTAATAAACGGTAATTTTACCATCTACTTTTTGATCATAGCTCTAAAACAACTTAAGTATTTTTCACAAGTCTATGATGTTATTTTTTTCAGATAGAACGGAATATAACCAAAATTATTATGTGCAAAAACGAGGCGGCCACTCGTGGAGAGGATACTGTTATATGGGTCGCAAAACACAAATTAGGCGACAAGACGCCGGCCAACATTGTGTTAAACGACGAGATGATGGCCTATATGGACCGGTGAGTGAAAACAGACGAATAGAATTATTTAATCAAAGAATATTAACATTCCCATACTCTTTAGTTATTATTTATTGTCGCGCAACTTTTTCGTCACGAACACTGGGCAGGCGCTAACGAAGTTTTTTGACCTGCTCAACCAAGAATGCAAACAACGTAACATAATGGTACCCGGTAAGGATGGCGGTATGGGTGATATCCTTAAGGTATCCGGCACCCTTATTAGAAAACAAATCGAAACGGCCGGCATCACGCACTCTCCTGCCACCAAAAAACTTCTGGCCAGCTGCTTGCAGCACAGCGAGGCCACGGTTGAACGGTGCTACCACGTCCCGTCGGCACACGCTGCAATCGAGCAAAACACCGTTCGATGACAACGATCGAACAATCTTCCAAGTTGAGAGAGTTTATAATATCCAAGTAAGTATTTACAAACATTAACAATATATTATGATATTTGTAAATCGTTTTTTTCTTAGCATCGAACATTACATGGACGTCACCGATCCGTATTCAGAGTTGCCATCGTTCGAGGAGTTTTGGAAGCAGATTCAAAGCCTCGACACGGTACAGCTGCAATTCCCAAAAAGCTCCCCATTGGGGATTATAAGCAAATCGTGGAGAGAGCGGAGAGTTTGATTTCAAAATGAAGAGCGCTCGAATTGGCGAGAGAGGCATTCCGGGAGGGCCACGACGAACAGTCCATTTCATCGGTGACGTTATGGCACCTGGCGTCTGAATTGTTGGTATGACGAATTTTATATTTATTTTTCCGTCACAAATAGGTCTATCAGAAAAATATAAATTCATGAGGTTTAGATAAGAAATAAAAGTTTTATAGGCTTATGTTCAAACACAAAATAACCCGCTAAAACGATAAAAATATGCAAAATATTTATGTTCAAAATGTGATTTTTAAAAAAATATATGAATTTGAGGTAAGTTTTGTACATATAAAGATTCAGTGTGATATTATCTATCAGGAAAATATAAATTTATAGAGTTCGGTTGGGAAATACAGTTTTTTATACTACATTTGGTGCGCAGAGTTAAAAAACAACGTATTCACAGCTATGTGTAAGGAGCCTGGACTTCAACAAAATTCAGTACTACGAGTCTAAAAAACGACCGTCCGGCAGGTAAGTTTAGATTTATCGCTGGGTTGCCATGCGATCTAGCGTCAAGTCGTATGAGTTAAAATATCCATTATGCATTTTACCGTAGTAATCTTGCACCAAGTGCGATCGCGGCTTAAATTACACTATATTTTACGATTGTTACTACGGCGCTAGCTGGTGTGGTCGGTATGAATACTGTCTGCTGGCAGAGTTGACCAGTGTTCGAATCTCATCTACTGACAGAATTTTTCCATATGAATTACTTGAGAATTGCAGCAATTTCTCGTAAGCGTATCATGGGCAACCATTCTCATGAGCATACGTCAGACAGTACAGTGCCGTTTCTTTCTTCCTCCGATTGCGAATAGACGATTATTTAGCACACCAGCGTACCAAAAGTACTCCAAGGAATTTCGCTGCTAGACCAATACCGCTTGTAGCCGAAATTTTTTTTTGAATAATGGGACAGCCGATCTTATTTTGCAATCTAATGATACAGGTTTCAAGTCGATCCCACAATTATTCGGTTTTTAATTAATTAATTCAAAATATATCTGCACGGCATACGGGTGATTGCACGGTGATCGGCCACACTCCAGCCGTCCGCTACTGGACAACGCGATTTTAAAGTGTTATACACAAAAATCGCAGGTATGGTAGTCGGGTATGTGTGCAATCTAACGAATTTTATATTTAAAGAAATTTAGAAATCATTATTTGAACATAATCAAACAGAATATTTTACAAATATATCATAATTTTACCGTCTACTTTTTGAACATAACGCTATTAAAACTTAAATATTTTTTCCAAGTCTATGATGTTATTTTTTCCTGATAGATCGAATGATAACGAAATTTATTATGTGCAATGTGCTTATGTACTTAAAATATTTTGGAAGTAATCATTTTTTGAACATAAAAAAAAGTTGATTTTACTAATAAACGGTAATTTTACCATCTACTTTTTGATCATAGCTCTAAAACAACTTAAGTATTTTTCACAAGTCTATGATGTTATTTTTTTCAGATAGAACGGAATATAACCAAAATTATTATGTGCAAAAACGAAGAACCGCTACATTTTTGTGCGTAAAAGAACATAATGTAAATGAAATGAAAAGTGTATAAAATATAAAGTAATATTAGCGTGTGGCATCCTACTTAATGGTAATTGAACATATGATAATTGGACATAAGGTAATCCCAGGAGATAATTTTCCTTGATAAGATAAGATAAGAACTCTGCGGACGATATGACGTAGTAAAAAAATTAACGGAAACAGGGGAATCCCCAACAAGGTTATTTTTATTATTATTAAATATAGTAACTTACTATAAGTAAATCAATTATGAATTGACATTTTACCCAGCAATTTGTCTTAAACTGCGCCACTTTGGAGATGGATCAGTGCTTTGGTCGTGCTAAGGTCTCGTCTGGCCGACCTGACGTGCCTATTCGCGACTACGCGTCTTTAAATAATAATTATAATTTTGTATGCAAGTCTATAAACGCCGAGCCGAGGTACTTTGGTAAGATAAAACGGTTTGACGCCGAGAAACAACTGCTATTGCCAGAAAATGGTTGAAGTATGGCTTTTGGGTCTGGAGAACAAATCCGGAAAAAATAACTAAGTCCATATCACTACCGTAGTACTATCACTACATCAATACTCCGCAGTGTTACCACAGCAATAATAATTTTATACTATTTTTTTTCACCCGTTCATTAGTACAAAATAAAATTTTAAAAATGTGACTGATGTGAAGGCCCTTGGTTTTTTCGAAACCTATCGGAAACATACTTTTATAATTATAAAATTTCAATTTTCCGAAAAGAAAAAATTTCAAAATATCGAAAAACGTCCAAGAGGTTTTCGATTCGTACACCGTAGTAGAAAAATAATCAGCGGTCGGATTCTATTATTTTCCATTTTCCGATCGATTTTCCCCATAGAGTATGGCTTTTGGGTCTGGGAAAAAATTTCAAAATATCGAAAAACGTCCAAGAGGTTTTCGATTCGTACACCGTAGTAGAAAAATAATCCGTGGTCCGATTTCCGTTTGGCCGATTTGTTAGCGAGTACTCCGTCATTATTTGGAATTATATTGTCATCACAGCTATCAAGGGACAATCTTAAATTATATTTTATTAAATAGGTACAACAAAATATTGTTACTTTCAATAAATAAAAATATATACTTATTATTTATATCTAATATTATATATTTAGGTATTTTATAATATATTTATGAACTTAAAAATGTGGTGGCCCTGAAAAGGGCCGTTTTAAATGCTTTATATTTACTGCTGACGTGCCTATACGATTTCTGGAAATAAGACACAACTTGGTTTTATTTTAATATAAATTTCTATTATACATATGATAAAGAATTTCGCTATATTTTTAATAAGTTATAGGATTAATAGGATTAAACACGATCCCAGGATATACACGTGCTATGTCAGACATAAATCGTACAAATTTTTCATGTACACTGCCACATCTCTCCAGGATATTTGTACGGTAAATGCATTGTACTCAACTATGTATGAGTCATAGACTAGAAATATATAGGTATGTTCGTTTTTTACAGGATCTCATATAAATATACAAGAATTTTAAATTAATAAACTACATTTCGTGAGCTTAAATTTTTGTAATGACAGCAAAAAATCCTTAATTTTCTAAATATCTGCCTACAAGGATTATGGGCTCTCCACATATCACTACAGATAAACGAATCCTGGTCGATATAACACTGCATTATCGGCAGTAATGTATCTGTTGTTCTATCGGGAACAATTTTACCGAACACTTTTTTCGTTGTACGACTAATAACACTTATACTTAAATGTTTAAATAAGTTGGACAATTTTTTTGGCTAACTAAAAGACGAGACGTTTAAGTCGCGCGGTGCTGATGCTATTTGAACCTCACAAAATAATATTATCATTTAATTCTATTATTTAAATGATGCCATTGTTTACATATTTTACCATTACAGCATACGAGTAGATCATATCACCAAGGTGCTATAGGTGCTATACATTTTATACTTACATAATATTACATGTTGTATTTTAATTGTACACATATTTTGTATAAGTTAGTATTTATGTACGATGTTCTGAGCACTATTATTGAATTTAAAAATAGTAAGAAATAGGTACTTCTTTAATAGTTAATTAATAATAGTTCTTTAATATTTAAAATGAGAATGCATATTATACCTAATATTACTCATTATAGCTTATAGATAATATTTGAAGTGTCCGATCCAGTCATTCCAGTCCCCCATTATTGCATTATTTCGGAAACCAATTATTATGGTATAAACTATAATTATGTAACTATAAATGAATAAGACTATTTTTAGAATATTAATACTTTTCTGTTTCATAATGTATTACAATGCTATATTAATCATCAATCGACATTCGACTTTTGTTCGTCAAGGAGTAATGTTGTTTTAATTGATTTCTTAAAATGGATTTAAACACTTTACTTTTACCTAACCATCTCTCGGTGCCTATTTAGGTCCAGATTTCACTAAAGAGAAACGGAGTAATGCTGGTAACCGAGGTCAGGGCCGGACTGGGAGGGTATCGGCCTACTATTCTAGGTAAGCAGGCGGCCCACAATGTATTATTTCAGGAATTTTTAAATGTGTCTGTCTCACAAAATTGATATTTGCTTATATTTCTTATAACCTTTATATTCAAGAATCATGATTAGTTATGTGATATTATCCAATATCCATAATCCATGTCCCATGATATTATATAAAATAAATTTACTTTGTACTTTATAAGGTATACACTTTAAAATAATGCACAAAAAATTAGTGGAGTTTATTAAAAATGCAAAACTATTTTTTGTGAATTTATTTATTTTATTTAGAATTATTAACTAAAAATATCTTTTTTAAAGGTTTATAACAAATATTAAACGTACCTACATGAAATATTAAAAACATCATTTAAATATTTAAAACATAATTATAAATAATACTAATTATAACACAAAATTGAAAATATACTAACTATTTATTGTATTAGTGATAATAAAAAAGAGATAATCATCACTTATGTCTAAATTATTATCTTAAGTAATAAGTATACTTAAAATTATTATTATCTCTTTTTTATTATCACTTTATTACTTAAGATAATAATTTAGACAAAAGTGATGATGAAGATTTTAAATACTCTATAATATCTTCCAATGATATTTGATCCAATATTTCTTTTTCAACCGACATAAGAATGAAAGCCTCTAAATGATCATTCGATATTGATGCTCTAAGACGATTTTTTATTATTTTTAACTTACTGAAAACCCGTTCGCAATTCACTTGGCTAATGGATAAAGTTAGAACATATTCGATAGTAGCACATAAATTAGAATATGTTGGCAAATGCAAATTAAGCGAATGAAGCAGTTTATATACACAAAGCAAGCAATTATCACGATTATGTACAATATTTGTGTTTCGTTCAAATTCTAAAAAAAAGATATTTATAAATTATAATCAACCATCACTTACCAACCATTTTTATATAAATAAAATAGTATACATACTTGTCTTGGATATTTCACAATCCCATTCGAGGTTAAGGTCTTCATAATCAATATAATTTTGTATAAAATCATGGTCTTCATCAGAAGTGTTGTACATATGACTGTTTTTTTTGCACAAGGGTTCCACTAACTGACTATATATTGTAGCAAAATGTTCCAATTCATCAATTAATTTTGATCGATTAACTGATGACAGTATTGAAAGTTGATTTAATGCTGACTCAGGAATTAGTTTGTTTTTTACATCATTATAATATTTTGGTAACAGATATTGCATATCAGCAATAATACATTTATTATTGGAAAATCTGTCATTCAAACTAGTTTGCAATTGGTCAAGAATGCTTTGAAATACCTCAATTTTGAATTTAAGTTTTGGGTCAGTTGGTGCTTCATCATTACACATTTCATCAAACATACGTTTCTTACGTCTGATCCTCGTCTCAGGGAAGTCATCTTCAACAGTTATTTCTTCAGATATTTTAGTTTTGATAAAGCTACCATTCATTTTTAAAGCAAAACCTTTAGATGCCTTAAAAATATCTTCAAAATTTAATCTACTTATTTCTACAATGCACTTTTCCACCATTAGAAAAGCACTTAAGATATAAGATTAAAAATTGGAAGGAAAATGTAAGCTGTTATTATAATATTATATTCACACAATTTATCAATTTATCTTTTAATGAAATTGCTTCAGAAGTTGTTTTTGGGTCGAAAGTTTTAGATGTTGCAACAAAATGTAATGCATTTATTATTAATGGAAACAAACAATCATCGCCTTCGAATAGCCATTTTAAAGCTTTTTCACGGGACCACCAACGTGTTGCACCAATTTTCTGGAGCCTTCGCATTTTTTTTTGACCAGTTCCAAGATTTTCTTGTATTTCCTTCCAGACATTCATTCTTTTATAAGAATCCGAAAAAAAGGTGGCTAGTCTGTTCAACAATCCAAATAAACTTAAAGCTGCCACATTCCCACAAATATCACAAACACATAAATTTAAAATATGCGCATAGCACCAAATGTACACACTATTTTTATTTTCAGTCTTGATGTGGGAACGTAATCCATTGTATTGTCCCTGCATATTAGCTGCACCGTCAAAAGAAGATCCAATAATATTTTTGAAAAGAATTCCATGTTTAGAAAAGACTTTGGCGATGAGCTCATACATTCCCTTGCCTGAAGAGTCTGTTACCTCTACCACACTAAACAGGCGTTCTTTGACTTTTTAGTTGAAAACATAACGCAAACAAATAGCAGCTTGATCATTAGCTCCTATATCTTGAGTGCTGTCAACCTATAATTTAATAATTAAAATTAAATAATTATACATTGTTTGTTTCAGATATTGTTAAACATACCTGAATACTAAATTGCCGATCACCTAATTCATTTTTTATTATTTTCCGCATAGTTACTAATATAGCTTCTATTACTTTATTCACTGTGGTCTTTGATAATAAAGTTATTAAAGAGCCTCTTCCTTTAAAATTAGATTCAACATTTTCTCTACGTTTTTTGCTACATTGAATTGCTTCAGTTAAATATTTTTTTAAAACAGCATCACGTTCTGCAGTAATTTTAAAAGCTCCAAAAAGTTCCCATGATTAATATTTAGGTCTTCAAGATCGTATAAGCCTTCATTAGTACCTCGATAAGATAAATTTTGTTTTCCAATAAATTTAATTATTTCAAACACTTGTTTGATAACATGGATTCTTTCCATAACTTGCTTTTTTCTGAAGTTCATAATATCCCTACTTACAACAAATTCTATGTTGTTTTGGTTTATTGCTAATAAATATGCTTCTACAGCTAATGAGTGACCTTTACTATTTTCATGAGATTGAATAGTAGAATATATATTTTTGAAATTAGTGCAACCCCTGTTAAAATTACTAAGTACAGAGGATGTATTAAATGCTATGCATATAGTATAATATACAGCCTTTACCACATTTTCATTTATACACTCAACTGTAATCCATTTACGGGGCACAATTTTCCCATTAGAATCAACTCTGTTATAAATTCTCTGCAAATCCCAAGATACATTTTTTAACAGTAATGGTTGGTTAGGATGATTTTTTTCAATGAACTGGATTTTTTGAAAAACATTACTATTATTGGGAAGCTTAAAATCAAAAGCACAGTCACCACTATCGAATAAGCATATATCATTACAAACTACCTATTCAACAGACAACAAATATATATGTATAAAATAAATATTTTTAAAGCAAAGCATAAAGCAATTAAAAAACTTACATTCAATAATTTTGTACTACTACTTTCATTCTGTAAATCCAAATCAATACTTGCTACACTATCATCATCAACTGAGTGTGAATTATTTGTAGGTAATACATTTTGTTGTGCATTAATGACCTATGCAAAATGTTTAAAATATGCAACTAACAAATAACAAAAAATGCTGAACATTTTAATAATTATTTAAAAAACTTACATTCAATAATTTTGTAGGTACTACTACTTTCATTCTGTAAATCCAAATCAATACTTGCTACACTATCATCATCAACTGAGTGTGAATTATTTTTAGGTAATACATTTTGTTGTGCATTAATGACCTATGTAAAAATTTAAAAATATAAAACAAACCAATATGATCTTATTTACAGTAATCTGCTATTTTGAAACATTCAGTTTTGACTAACTAATAACTATTGTCTATAGATTGATAATTTCTTAGGTAATATTTGTACCTTTACTGGTTTTGATTGATTTGTTGCAAATATATTTGATATTTTTTGGCATGATTTTGCAGCAATTTTTAATTGTAACTCATTTTTTAGCCTTTTTTTTCTGCTCCACCCTTGAATACTTTCTTAGCAACATTTTTCTTTAAACAAGGTTCCATACTGAATACAATTTATGATTATTGTATCACAGACTCACAGTTATAATAATTTACAAAAACAAAATACAAATCAAATTGTATAAACTAAAAAAATTGTAAATAAACAGTAAACACAAATGTAATAAACTGATAAATCAATGAGTTAATTTGAACAGTGAACAGTCAGTAGACGTCCATATGACATAACGATAACGTGTTATCACAATTTTACATTATCATATTATTATGCACGTTTTTCTCGCGCACGCCATTAGAAAACTCGGACAACATATTATTATTTGATAACCAAAAGCAATATAATATAAAAAAAGATATGCATTAAGCACGCCGCAGTGCCGCACGGTAAATACTAGATTTATTTCCAAAAAGCTGATTCAGACTATTCTGTAATCTCAGCAAAGATTTTTATCACGGCCGCGGCCTACTGTGCTGTAGCACAGTAGCACAGTGGGCCAGTCCGGCCCTGACCGAGGTGAATCGTTGTGTAGTCATTTCGGTATAATTCCAAGTGAATTTGACATACCTCAATGTCACTGTGGTAGACCGTTAAACCGAGTATCAGATTATACACGGAAATTGAGGTATAGGTTTAAGTGTTCTGTAGGTCACACGATTTCGCCCACCAAAAATACATTTTTGGAATATGTGCACACGGCTGGAGAATTGGGTGCACATAAGATTGTGCAGATCGCTTATCTTGGGACAATTAAAGCTAATACTTCTACTATCCAGCAGGAGGTAAATATAATAAATGCATAATGTTCTAATATGAATAAGTGGAATAATTATTATTGTTGAAGCAATTATATTAAACAGTTGTTATGATATATTGTGTAATGGCTGTTCTTAGAACTATTTATACACTAATATTTTTATATTTTATAGCTATGTAGGTACTATAGACACGCATTACTAGTTGTGTATATATTTAATTGGGCATAGATTGTGATGTGGGAGTGTGGGAATGTATCGGAAGTATCAAATATTATTTATAAACTATAATGATTAATATTATATGCATTCTCATTTTAAATTCTATTAACAATTTTTTTTTTTACTATTTCTAGATTCTATAATAGTGATTAAAACAGTGTATATAAATACTATGAATAGGTAGGTACTTATTTATACACGATTTGTGTACGATTAAAATATGTATAAAATATTATTACTTAACGCCTTGGTTTTATGCAAAGTTGGGCATTAACTAGTTAATAAGTTATTTTTTTTTAACTTTTTTTTAATTTAACTAGTATTAGTTTATTTTCTAATCAACTTATGAACTTAACTAGTTTCATTTTCAAGTTTCGTTTTTCGTTTTTTTTTGTTTTTTTGTTAAATAACGTTTTCCATCGCTGAGGAAAACAAATTCCAAATGTCAATTTCACGTATAAAATAAAAAATATTTAACTTAGCCACCCTTTTTGTACAATATATATTGTACCTAAACTGATTTAACCAATAGTGTATAAAATCAAATCTATGTAGATACTAATAGTCTGTATTACTTTACTTTTGATAAAAGATTAAAGTCTCAAAAGAAACAGCCTTAGCGTTTTGCGAATACTTCCGCGATGTTGCCACGAAGATCGCAAACCACGATTATACATTAATAGGAGATAGTCAAGACATCGTGGAAGTAGATGAAACACATTTATTCAAAGCGAAATACAATGTGGGACGAGCGATGACATGGAGCGCTGTTTGGCTTTTTGGTATTAAAATATTTAACTTAAAAAGTTTTTGTTAGAGGACTCGGTGCCGGTTTTCTGAAATTTCCGCAAAATTTAAAATTACTTTGAAAATACTTATTTTTAATGCACTGCCTGAAATCTATTTACGAGGGGACGCTACCATGGAAAGTATAGAAAAAATAAGTTTAATGCGGTTCAATGCGGTAATAAGTTCAATCAAAACAAAAAAAAAATATGAAATTTTCCAGCTTTGGCACGACCGTCTCTCGGACGACCGCGGAGAGATGGTCGTGGACCTCATAGGTCGGAAAAACCTTACCGTAAATAACCTAGCGGGCAGTGTGAATACATTTATAAATCGTGGGTCTGCGTGCTTGGACGTGACCCTTACGTCTTACGGCGTGAATGTGGCGGACTGGACCGCAGTCCACAATTTGCCGTCGAGCGATCATGCGATCATAAGCTTCGACGTCACACAGAACTGTGCGCGCCCGAATGACAGTACAGATCCTTTCGTAAAATACGACTGGAGTAAAACGAATTGGAATGAATTCCGTAAGTCCTTAAAACTCAGAGTAAGCGCGTGGATGACTGATTTGGAAAGTCCGGATCTTGATACTAGCACTGCAGCACTCCTATATAATTACAATTTAATAACAAATATAATAACAATTTCAACGGACACGCCATAAATCGTTGGCATTGCGCTAGCCCAGCATCATCTTACCAGATCTACGTCTATGTTAATGACAATTCCAATTATTAGAAGCTAATACTATGTATAGGTACTTAATATGACATACGAGTATATGATTTAATACTCATAATACACAATTATTGAATTTCGGGTACTAAAATTTAGTAGAAATAATATTTACAGTGCCTTTGTCGGACAGTCAGTTGTTTCAGCTGAGCCTAAAAACAGGACGACGCCGAACATGCCAACGAACCGTTCTAATTTTAAATTAAACCGTCCACACGGACCGATAATGCGATGCTGATTTACTTAATTCAAATGTTATTTGTGAATTGTGTTATTTTTCCTATGTTTCAATAACAAATTTCGGGAACACGACGATAGTATAAAATCAAAATAGCGGAAAATACAATTTTGAATAAAATGTTTTTTTTTTTTTTTGTTATTTAAAATGTATATTATATTATATTAACATATTTACAGTTAATTGCCCTGCCATATTTGATATTTATAATATTATAATACACAAGTCTGCGTAGGCATGAACAAATTATGACTAGTTGGTTTGATAATTTGCATTTTAAATCTATTAAAAAAATTTTCTTTTACTGCAAAGCATTTTGACATTTCGTCTTCTCAGTTAAGACCAGACACAATTATGACACGGAATAAAATGTTTACAAGAATGAGCATCGCACGACACGATTGTAAAAATAATAAAGACAAAAGTCGACGTCCAGTCGGTCCGCAACCAACTGCGGAAGTGCCGACAAACAAAAGTTTCATAGAAGACGGTCGACCACACTAGCGCCACGAGCGGTTTAAAGCTCACACAACAAGTTGCATGCATTTTTTGCATTACAAACCGTTAGAAACTAGTGCTCAGGTGAGCAACTTGC